TCTGTATCTTGATCTGCTCTTTTAGGCGCTCCTCAGAGGTAGATTTTTACGAAATGAAAGAGTTTTGGGGGACGAGAGGCCGTCCTCGAGGGGTGCAGCTGAACTGGGTTTGCTGAGGCAACGGCATACAGTTTCTAACCTTAGGTAATTTTTAGGCGATACTTATCGGATTCCAAAGTTCTGATCTTTAATTGTGGGCTGTCTTGTGCTAAATTTTGTTACTGTTTTTGTCATTTTTGTGTTGATCAGCTTTTATGTTGCTTTTTTTGGTGAATACTATCAAATAAGTAAATTTATATCCATTACATGTTCCCTTGGTGTGATCAAGAGAATCAAATTTACTCCAATTAGAATCTTAAGAAAGAAATTACTTTCAGAAATTTGGATGATCAAATATAAATTGTCCGTTTAAAGTATGTAAACAAATTTAGCAAACATAATTTTGCCACATAACTCGAGTAAATTTTAAGAGCAAACATTTGATGCGAGTAATCGATGTAGCTCCCGTGTTTTGGCAATCATATTTGATATTTGTTGTATATATGTCTGTCCATCTGAAGCATGTATTGTTATTTATTTATTTATTAGTATCTATACTTATATAAGAAGTCATCCTGTTTACTAGAAATAGTAGGTAGAAAAGTCAAAGGTAATTAATGCATTCTATTTCTGTTTAAAGTATTTTATTTAATTATTCTATTTAATGAAATATTGGATCTGGAGAATTGTTGGATATGTATAAGGCAGTATAAAGATGTGATTTTGTTTCCTTGTTTTTCACATTTGTATAAAAAAAATGGAGATGAAAGGTGATGAGATTCTTTATATCGTTTATAAAGAATTCCACAATTTTAAGATAGGCTTTAATTTACAAGAAACAAAATATACACTTAGAAACATTTTTATAATAAGCAGGTTTATAATTTATTAAATGTAGGACAAAATTTAATTTTTTTTTAATCTCTACATATATTTTCATCTAAACGTTTACTAATAAGAACTAGTACGAATCCCGTGCGATGCACGAGTAAGAAATATTTATTAGTATTTATAAATAAAAAATATGCATTAAATTATATTTTATAAATTAAGAATATTGAATCAATATGTAATATAGTTTACCTATATTAATTTATAAAAATGTTATACGAAATTTGAATTGTACCAAATTACATAAAATATGTATATTTAAAATTAGTACACAACTCATACAATGCACGTAACAAATAATAAATTATATTACATTCATTTCAAAATAAAGTTATTTTAAAAAAATTATTCAAAATTTCAATTTGACTACAATGTGATTCAATAAATAAATTTTTTTGTAAAATTTTATCATATATTTAAAATTCTATGTGAATAATACGTATAATTATAAAACTTATATTGTTTCATTAACTAAAATTAATTTATTTTCGTATGACCTGTCCAAATCAAAAAATTTAAGTAGTTGAATAATTTATTAAACTATAAATAATTAAATAATTCATTTGCATCCAAGTTAATATTAGCATAAGTTATGATTTATGAATAACTACTTATTTGATCTTTAAATTTAGAACCTAAATTTGGACTACACAAATAAATTTTTTTATATATTTCATGTATAATATATATATATATGTATTATATTTATCTCGCATTTTTTTAGATTTGTTGGCAGTTACCTTATCGTTCAAAATTATCAATTAATCTGTAGAATTAAATTACTAATTTTAAATTTTATTAACCAATGTTTGTTCAAAGATCATTATAATTTTCTAGAGGAATATATCAATTTGTCGAATTATCATCAATATATTATGATAAATTATTATGCGAATATGCTAAATTTTAAGAATCACATCACCTTGATTTAAAAGAATGTGGTATGTCCACCTTTTTTTTTTTACATTCTAATCAACCAATTGAGAGATGAAAGAGAAATATTATTACTATTTTCAAAATATCTAATTATTAATTTTTTTGTTTCTTATTTATATTTTATTTTTATTTTTGTCAATTCACAATATTATGTTTGATCACATTGTGCACGCAAATAATTTTTTAGATTCGTGAACTTAAGAAATATCTATGTGGTTCACAATCCATATGAACAATTGACATTTGTCAAAATTTATGTGATAACAACATTTATGCATTGTAAATGCTCTTATTTTGTTTTAAATAATTTCAAATATACTTCTATCCATTTCAAATAAAATTCATACTATATAAATTCGAACATTTCGTACCAAAAATAAATCACCCACTTTATACCACAAAATCGGACATTTATTATCAACACATTTTCTACGAATTGATAAAAATGGCTATCAGATACTTAAAATAAATTCATCAACTTTATACCAAAGTTGGATTTATTAATTTTATTAACTTTATCATAAATTAATTAAGTAATTTTTAAAAGTCATTTCTACATTTTGTCCAAAATATTTTTAGCGGCACATAAATGTTATTTATATTTTTGTATTTGGTTATCTTGTCTACGGAGACAAAAATAATCTTGCAACTCTACTATGCCAACAAAAAGATGTATGAAAAATAACATAAGTATTAATTTATTTTGTTTTATCCAATACAGGAAATATAATATAGATATAAAGATCAACGATTAATTCTCTATAATTGAACAATCAAGTCTATATATTTAAAACTAAGGATTTCGAAAATTTCTATAATACCCCCATATTTGTTTCCATAAAACTAAATCATCCTAAATTTAAATTCAACTAATAAAGGTAATAACAGTAAATATTTGACTAAAAATATAATGTACAATAATTACATTGATTTTTATTAATTTTACTATTTTTAGGCAATAATTAATGAAATTGGAGGGAAAGTATTTCTAAAAGTGAATTATGTTAATCCTTATTATATATTAATAGATATTTTTATATGAATATGCTTACTATATCATATTAAAAAACCAGATTTATATAAAATAAACTCAACGTATTAACTCCAACAGTTTAATAAGCAAATTTATGTCTTAATTTTTTCAAAATAAATTAACAGTGAATTAAGACAACTAAATAGGCTTACTAAGGTATTGTATTATTTATTAAAAACACAAAAGGACCTTGACAAATCAATTTTCAATATATCAAACAGCTGAAAACTTGTATCATTAAAATATGGGGCATTGACAAATCGTTATTGACCATTCTTAAGGCTGTATTTCTATATATTCTAATATAATTTGGTTAGATTAAAATTTTGTAAATAAATTATTATAAATTGTATTGTAAATATTGCCGATGATACTCCAACTTGATTGAGATACTCCAATTGATATATATATATATATATATATATATATGTGTGTGTGTGTGTGTGTGTGTGTGTGTGTGTGTGTGTGTGTTTGTACACAAATATATATAGTAATTTTTCTAATAAGTTTATATAAAAAAATTAATTAAATATCTGAACAATTTAAAAGTTTTCAATGTTTAAATTAATTGATAAATGATTTATAAATCTCTATTTTATTTAAATATGTATTTTTATTTATATTAAAAATAATTTTAAATGTAGCAAAACTTATTTAAAAAATACCGATATTTCCGATCAACTGGTGTTGACCAGTTTGCTAGCTAACATTTTATTCAAGTGAACCGGACTAGTCGATAAACCAATTCCCTACCCGTCCGGTGTGGTCCAGTTTTAAAAAAAATTGGGTAAATCATGATAATATTACTTATATATTTAATTTATAATATAATTTTAATACTATTTCGCCGTGCATCGCACGGGCCATGTGCTAGTATATTATTAATTTGAAAAGCATGTCATTGTGGTATTTATGGTCTATCCTCAGGGAAGGATTCCTCTCCAAATTGGAGAACTTGGCTTCGACTTCAACTGACTCTGCCGACTCAAATAACTGCGCACCAGAGTCTACTTGCCCGGAAAAGGAAGTTATTGAGGTACAAACATTGCCGGATTTAGAAGCTACCGAAGCAGACAGGAACGCACAAGAACAGCAAGTACAAGCTACCGAAGCAGACAGGAACGCACAAGAACAGCAAGTACAAGCTACCGAAGCAGACATCCGTGTTTCTCACATTGAGACAAGTGATAAAGAAGACTTCTTACATGGTTCTCAACTCGCAAGCAGACAAGAAGATCCAACTCCCAACACTGAAGTACAAATTCATTTTGATATTGACCCGCCTTTAGAAGTTGAGGACGTTAACTTCAGCACACCGGTCGAGAATTATACTGCCTACTCGTTAGAGAACGTGGATGAGGAATTAGATTCACGACAAGGTTCAGGTCAAATGGAAGAAGAGTACAGAGTGTCTGCTGCTGCTTATCAGTCGAATCCCAGCCAATTTGATTATGATGTTGAAGTGCAAGATGATACGGTTCACGAACAGCACGGGGGATGGCAGAGCAATTATCTAGAGGAGGCTATTGACAGCTGGCTTGATATGCCTTCTCGGCCTTTTGACACGTTTTCCCTACCTGATGATGATCGTGCTCACAGTGTCGAACTTAGAGAGCTTTTTGGCAGGTACTTTCTCTCCCCATTTTTTCATTATTCTTCTTTGTTGTGCGAGTCTATATGGTATACTGCATAAGATGGATGACTTTTTCGTAAAAAAAAAAAAAATACTATTTGTTATAGATAATCTTTATTTATTTATTTTTTTTTAAATTTTGATTTTTAATGATTGTGGCCCTTTTATAGGAGACGCGTGTCGACTCTTCTTGGGAGCAGTTTCAGGGAGAGGCTAAACCAGGTGCTGCAGTCCCATGTGGAAAGGCTTCATCGTGCTTCGGGTGATTGGGTCGACCAAGAACAACTCTTTGAAGGGGATCATCCGAACCGCTCTGTATCAGATGCCGACGAACATAATCAATTTGATCCGTCTTCGGACCTTTTTGGTGGGTCCCACCAACTTTGGGGTGATGAGGAGTTTCAGGGCATGAGTTGGTCCCACCACCACCCGAATGCACAGTTGGAGACGGTAACCTTAAGCTCCTTTTGGTCATATTTTCCATGTTTTGTTCTTTGTACTGTGCTTCCATTTAGTTATTTACCTACATTTTGAATTTATCATTACAATAACTATTAGGAATGGGAGGTGATAAACGAGTTGAGGATTGACATGGCCAGGCTTCAACAAAGGATGAACCACATGCAAAGCATGCTCGAAGCTTGCATGGAGATGCAAATCGAGTTGCAACGTTCCGTGCGCCAGGAGCTTTCTGCCACTCTAAATCGGCCCACTTTTCCAACCGGTAATTATAATTAATATTACCCTTTTTTCTTTTTTTGTTCTCCTTGAAAATGAGTTTTAACATTATGATTTTCACTGTCAACCGATGAAGATGCATCTATGGAGTCCCAGTGGGATCATGTGAGGAAAGGAATTTGCTGCATGTGTAGGGACAGTAAAATCGATGTCTTGCTCTACAGGTGTGGGCACATGTGCCTGTGTTCCAAATGCGCTGAAAATTTGGTCCGCTGTGAGGGAAAATGCCCGATGTGTGAGGCCACAGTGGTCGAGGCGGTCGAAGCTTATTTCACCTCAGCAACTCATAATTAAATTAAGTAAATAAATAAATCAACGTATAGATAAATCGAGGAATGATGCAAATTGATCTTGGAAGTCCGCAATAGGTAATAATCTAACTCTTTTTTCATATGTTCTTCATACATTCGGCTTTCTTTTGCAGATTACAACAGCCTCTGGGCTCTAATTTACGTGTTTTTGATCGATTTCCTGTGGCAGAGCGCGGGAAAAAGTGATACCAGCTTGCTTGTTGAGACCACTGATATAAATACACAGATGCCTAACTGACTCCGAAGTCATTAGCTATTAGTGATGGCTTTTTACTGTGGATAAGAAGTGTTGAAATAGCAGAATTAATAGAACAGCTTGATTGATTTGGTTGTGGGAAATATATATCACAAGTTGCAAAGTTCTGAGTACATAAATTTGTTTTTGGGGATGGTTTGATAAATTAATTGCATTTAAGCTTTGCCGATGACTTTTAATTTACTTTGTTTAGTTTGAATGAATTGTGGTTGTGTTCGAAATCATGAAGCTTATTTGAGACGGAACATTATAATTTTCTTTCCATATTTCTAGTACATTAGACCTTTCATCTTCGAGTTCGGTGAGGATTTTGTGGAGGCTAGATTTGATAGATTCTTCTTTTCCCTGACTGGGCTCTTAGATTCCCAAATGCTGAGGTTCAACATATCCTTCTTTTCTCCTCTGACCATTGTATGTTGCTCTTGGATACCGATAAAGATGCGGCCAAAGGCAGAAGAAGGTTTTTCTTTTCGACTCCAGATGGACAAAATTAGAAGGTTTCTAGGACACGGTGGCAAATGCCCGGAATTTAGACAGCTATGGGTCTGATCTTTACAGTCTCCAGGGAAGCATCATGAATGTGGGGATTGAACTGTTCAAGTGGAAAAAGGACCAGATGCCAAATTCTTCCAAGACAAATCACCTCAGTCAAAGAACAGTTGTCCCTATTGGCTGAGAAAGGAAATGATAGAAACTGGCAAGTGGGACTCTTTAACAGGCATTTTACACAAGGCTTATGCTGGCTAAGGGAGGGTGACAAAAACACACAATATTTTCAAGCATGTGTTGAGCAGAGTCATTGCAAATAAAGCTGGAAGAGTCATTCTTGACAATTTTCCTGGCATAGTGCTAATGATGAACTAGATCAAAATGACTCAATTAAATTCTAGTGCTTCTTCTAATAGTGAAGTTTGTAGAAAAAAAAATATATCAAAACGACGCAATGCACGTTGGGTCGTTACGAAAACAGCCTCATTGTATAATTATAAGTGTAAGGTCTGCGTACAATTGACCCTCCAGACTCCAACCAGTTGAAAATATACTGGGTATGTTGTTGTTGTTGTTGTTGTTGATGTGTTAAGTAGAGGAGGAGAACCAACAGTGTTGAAGGGCTCATTAACAGACATGGGGTTAGATGTTCAAATAAGGAAGAAGTAGTTGAGGAAGTCCAGTCTTATTTTTTCTGATTTGTACAACCAATGAACTCTGGCTTTTTGTTGCCAGAATTTTTCCTCAATGTGATAAACTAAAAGAGTACTAATAATAATAAGAAATAAATAGACTAAAGCCGAAGTCGGTCGTATTTATTCAGATACGCAATGGCGGTCTCGTCTTCATCAAAATATGTCATATAAACATAGAAGGACTGGTTCAAATAAAAACTAGTGAATATCGTGAGAACCATATTTGATATTATTTTAATTGTGTGTGATACTATTTTGAATATAATGGTGCTATCATTTTTACAAATTCTAATATTAGTTGTGTTGTTATTTTTAATAAAATACATCTATGTTAACAATAGCACTAAAACACAATCAATCATAGCACTAGTACGTACAAAAATAGCGGTTCTCACGGACTTGGTTCTTATTTGAACTACATCTATTTATTAAATACTAGTAAAGTGCACGTGCGATGCACATGGTGTCGAATGATATTCGCAGAGTAAGTTTGCAAAATAAATTAATTAATTTATTAAACATATCATTGCAGAAATGAAGTAAAATATAGAAAAAATGAACTCATACGTTATTTTTTTTATTTAGAATTAACGTAATGATGTCCTCATATAAAAAGAGTGAAATAATGTTTTACAACCCCCAATAAAAATATATATAAAAAAACAAATCTCTAATAAAAAAACACAAAGATTTTCTTTCATTTTGGTTTTGACGTTCTCATAAGAACATTCATAGTCGTTGGAGTCCAATACATCAATAATATTACAAAATTTCTCTTAATTAATTTGGCAAAACCCCAATTTTATTTAAACACTTAAGAAACATCCTGACCCAACATATAGTCAAATTTCATGATCGCATGATCTTTATAACAAGGTACTTCTACTAACAAAGGATAAATATCTCTATGAAATAACTAACGGTGTCATTAAAATTGTTGATATTTTTTTATCAATGTATAAACTACTAATTCCTCTTAATTAATTTTACATTCCTCTGTCTCTAGATATATTGCTGTCTACCCTATTGATGCATCGCCCCACGAGGTGGGGAATGAATTTTATCTCCAAATAAAAGTTGACTTTCCAAAATTTGGGTTACATGTACTTCTCCCGAGGTGCTAAATTAGTTTTTGAAATCACCATACATTACCTGAAAGTACCTCTAAAGCAATTGCACATATGTTCAAGCGCAATACACCAATGAGATTATAAATATTTCTATAAGAAATGACAACTTCATTCTAACATTCAAAATTGTTTTGATACTCATACATTTTATTTTCAATGTTATTTATTTAGAATATAGACGAACAATATAATCTATTTTTTGCAATGATAAAACAAAACAAACTAAACGATGAGAAAATATTGAGAAGCATATCATTTGTTAAAATATTTGACAACAGAAGAATTGGAATTCTATTATAGGATGATACTTTTAGTCATCTGTAAAGTTTATTATTATGGAGTCATGATTAAAATATACATCATGTATACAAATTTTTGGATTTTTTAATTATTTAAAATTAAAAATAAATAATATATGATCATTATTTATGAAAACCGATTTCTTACAGAGTCCATATATTTAAACGCTAGCAACAAAAAAATAGTAATTTTAAAAGACTTTGTTTGTAAATATTGGTATTCATACTTTTCATAAAAATTAGCACGTTTTTTTTTCTCATTGCATTACTATTATATTATTTGTTTCTTATTTTATAGACAAATAATATTTTATTTGTTAAGTAATTAAAGCACATTTATACGTATTACGGTATTTTTCGTATATGTTTTATATAATGATGTTATCAAATTATCTTATTTATTAGGCTACAATTAATATAATCACATAAGATTAAATGCAATGTAATATATTTGATAAAGTTGTACTTTTTATACGAATTAATAGATTAAAAAGTTTAGAATTTTTTCCAATGTTTGATAAAATATTAATTAACTAAGTCATTTTCATAATCACTGAATACATATATGGTACCACCATTATAAGGTTCATTTTCCAGCAGTAATTGACTTCACATAGCTAATGTTCTTTCATTTCTTTTCTCTGACCTAGTCTTTCCTTTTATCTATGACTTTACGTTGTTTCGCTTCATTTGTACCCTAAGGTGCATTTGTCATAGTTTCAGCATTACGACAAACTCGTGTCAAACATATATCAGATTTGGGCGCTCTAGCCAAAACGTGGGAACAATTAGAAGTTTACACCCATTTTTTTAATTTTTTTTTTAATATAAATTGTTTCAAAATTATGTATGAAACATACCACAAGTTTATTTTATATTATTTTATACTTAATAAAATTGATGTAACTTGAATATAAAATTTATTACATTATATACTTTAACACCAATTTATTATTTTAAATTAGTACTGATATATATATATATATATATTATTTTATATCAATATAAATAATTATATTATTTTTATGTTATTGCAATATATGGGTCAACTCAAACATCATTGAAAATAAATGATGTGATATATTACATATAAAAAGGTAAAAAAATAAAAAATATGAAGTATTTTAAAATTAAAAAATTTAATGATAGAAAGTAATAAAAATCTTAACTAAAAAATTTTAAGATTAACATACCCACTTTTAAAGAAATATACATATGAATATATATATATATATATATATTATATATATATATATATTATGTACTGAAAAGTTCTAGTTAAAATATATGTGTATCTGAAGTATGTTTTATATTTCTCATTAGCCAGCTTCAATTGATATTGTACATTAAGTAATTTTATCAGCATTTTTACTTTTGAATTTAATGAGAGATATAAGTTTTGTCATCATTCTTACCCCTTATTTAGTTATTATAATACTAATAAAATTATTAAGGATCTTTCAAAGTATCTTGTTTGTTTTGAAAAAAATTACTTCTTATCATAAATTGAACGCTAATTACATTGAATGTGTTATATTTTCTATCGTATCAAAAATTTTCATAATAATAGTTGCACACAATATTATATATAATGCATTTCTTTTTATAGATTTAGAGTCCTAGTTTTACTACAAAGAAATGAAAAAAATTCAAACAAAAAATACAACAAATATAATGATTTTCTTATGTTGATTTAAGAAAAATCATGACTTTTGGTTTCTTAAATTTATTTTACCTTATTGTGATTGCATAGATTGTTGCACACAATATTATATATAATGCATTTTTTTTAATAGATTTGGAGTCCTAGTTTTACTACAAGAAAATGAGAAAATTCAAACAAAAAATACAACAAATATAACAATTTTCTTATGTTGATTTAAGAAAAATCTTGACTTTTGGTTTCTTAAATATACTTACCTTATTGTGATTGCATAGATTTATTTAAATGTATTACAAATGAGAAAGGTGATAGATTATGTAAAGTATAATTTATAAATTGCAATGACATGTTATTTTGATGGTATATTTTTTTCTATTAACTAAATAATGCTCCCAATATGAAATTATTTTGGATCTATCACTGCACTTATCTTTCCAACGGAACTTCTATT